TGTGTGTGTGTATATATATATATATATATATAACCAGTTAACCACAAATATACAAAATTACACCATCTTTCCATATGGTGCAGGACTGCTCTTCTGCACTGCTTTCTTTTTTGATTTTGGTGCATTTTGTGCACCAAATGGAAAGATGGTGTGACTTTGTACACTTTTGCATTTTGTGCACCAAAATCAAGAAGGAGGCTTGCATAAGCGTGCGGTTTGCATGAGGTACAGTATGCGCAGCGCGTCTGGCCAGATCTGGACTGCAGCAGCCCAGCTGGCATTATCTGTTCATATTACATAAATATTCCACATCTGACTCGCCAGCCAGCCAGTCAGGAATTCAGTCATCAGTAGCATTAGACCTTAGACAAAGCAGAAGAAACGCTTTACAGTTATTATTCTGTTTATTCGTAGAAGCTTTTTAAAAGAGTTAAAATACTAAATTAAAAGGTTTAGTCAACTGGGACAGAATTTGGAAGGTAAGCCGGATAAGCACTGTGTTAATCGCTATGCAACATATTTGTGTTAATGCACATTAATGCACACAACCTGTATGTGAAATTACAATAAGTTTGGGTAAAAATTCAAATCAGCTGAAACTACATGAAATGAACATGAAGTGCACCAAAATGTTTATTTATATAATATTATCAGTGTAATCCGAATTACAAACAGTAAATCTTATGTATTTAGTAACCAGAAACCGTTCTCAACATGGGATGGCTCATTATAAAATAGTGGATCATGTGTAAACTACCATTAAAAAGTTTTAGGCAGTTTTTTGAAAGTAATTCATGCTTTTATTCATCAAGGATGCATTAAATTGATCAGAAGTGACAGAGAAGACATTTATAGTATTATAAAAGATTTCTATTTTAAATAAACGCTGTTCTTTTGAACTTTCTGTTCATCTGTGAATCCTGAAAAATAAAATGAATCACGGTTTCAACAAAAATATTGGGCGGCACAACTGTTTTCAACATTGATAATAATCAGAAATGTTTCTTGAGCAGCTAATCAGCATATTAGAATGATTTCTGAAGATCATGTGACACTGAAGACTGCAGTAATGATGCTGAAAATACAGCTGCGCATCACATGAATAAATTACATTTTGACATGTATTCACATAGAAAACAGCTGTTTTAAATTCTAATAATATTTCACAATTTTTACTGTATTTTTGATCAAATAAATGCAGCCTTGGTGAGCAGAAGAGACTTCAGACAGCGTAGGGTTTGCTGTGCAGGAGTTTGTGTGGAAACACCTTCAATAGACATGGTGTTTGGAAGTATTTTATGCTACTGACCAACTTAGAGAACTTGTTTCTACAAGTTTCTTAATAATCTAGATTCATCAACATTAGAAAGAGGGACAGAACAGTTGAACTTGTTTTACACACCTTTTTGAATGAGAATGTTTTCTGTGTAAATATGTAAGCTGTTGTTAGTGAATGACGTCCACTTTTTGATTGGTGTGTTTAATGGCAGACTTCACTCCTGCAGAAAGCAGACAGTAAAAAAAACAATTCAAAGACATATATATATATATATATATGTGTATGTATTCTACTGAACATGGCAGCAGATAATGGAGAACAGTAACAAAACAACATACAGTATACTGTGTTGTGTCAATAAAATATGCAATTAACAGATTAAGTGTTTTAATTGAAATGTGTTTGTTGCATCTTTCTTTACAATTAATGTCACTTGCTGTGTAATGAATGATATTAAGACATTTAGACTTACAGCGGGTAAAATAAGTATTGAACACGTCACCATTTTTCTCAGTAAATATATTTCTAAAGGTGCTGTTGACATGAAATTTTCACCAGATGTCGGTAACAACCCAAGTAATCCATACATACAAAGAAAACAAAACAAATAAGTTCAGAAATTAAGTTCTGTGTAATAAAGTAGAATGACACAGGGGAAAAGTATTGAACACATGAAGAAAGGGAGGTGCTAAAATGCATGGAAAGCCAAGACACCAGCTGAAATCTATCAGTAATTAGAAAGCAATCCTGCCCCTAGTCAGTGGAAATTAATATTAGCTGGTTCAGTC